GCTGGTCCAGCCAACGCTCTGGAATCCTTAAAACCCTCACCCAGGAGTGTAACTCCTCAGTGTTTAGGGCTAGTTCCTCATGCAGGCAAGTGAAAAGCAGTGGGGGGTCACAGAGGGAAGCCTCACTCTACCCTCTCCAAAGTGGGCAGGATGCTGGGGGGCGGGCACAGAATGAGTGAGTGGGCTTGAGACACCTGCACCTCCCCCCATACGGGAGGGCCTGGCTGGGCCTGAGTCCTGGCTCTGCTGCCCATTCCAGTTTCCTGCCCATGAGCACTCTGGGAGGCGGCAAGTGATGGCTGAAGTACTTGTGTCCTTGCCACACGCGTGGGAGGCCTGGGTTGGGTTTGGGCTGCCTGCTTCGGCCCAGCCAGGCCCAGCTGTTGTAGGCATCCGGGGGAGTGAACCAGTGGATGCAAGACCTGGTTGTCTCTCTCTGTTTTCCAAGAAAATCCAATGAAAAATAAATGAATGAATGAATGAAACAGGCAGGAAACTGCGAACAAGCACTTAGGATACAAGAAATTGGGGGCTGGTATACAGAATTTAGACTGTGAGTTAAAAGTGTGAGTATGTGTTTAAACCCACTGGGAGTGAGCTCCGGAAGGCAGAGGGAAAGCGCAACGGGCAGTTGGGGCACTTCAATTAGAGAAACAAGGAAGCGAGCTAATAGGTAGAAATGGATCTTTTCAGGGAGCTTGCTAAAGGCAACCAGGGCAGCAAAAACCGTTCGCACACCTTAAAACTCAGGGGTCGGTATTGTTACCCTGGTTGCCTTTACACGCAAACTCGGGTTTCTAGAGGGATCAGTTCACTCCTACTGCTGGGGACCCCTGATGGCTGGGTGGGATTTAAATCCAGCAGCTCAGGGGAGGGCTGACGAGGCCCGGTGCGACCTAAACTTAGATGCAATCCCCGAGAAGGACGCAGAGTCAGTGGTCCCGGCCTGGAGAGGTCCAGTCACTGGGGCAGGGGTCCTAGGTGACAAGGCGGGGGGCGGGGGGCAGGCACTTGGGCGCGATCTCAAAGAACCAGCGGTGGTGGAGGTTGCGCTGGACTTCCCGGGAGAAGTCCAATCGCTGGGGTCGCTGTCACCCGTGCCCGTAGCACTTCCCCGACCCGGGTTCCCGTACCCTCCAAGGTGACGGTGTCCAGCTCTCGCTGGGAGTGCTCAGCCGCCGCCGCCGCCGTCTTGCCGTCTGCCTCCCCCGTTGACCCGGCACCCGCCGCCGCCTCCTCTTTCATCTCCACATCCTGGGGAGCCGGGGGCGGTGGTGGGTCCTGTTCCCCTCCGCCGGGCGGCGGCTTCGCTTTGTCCGCACCGCGGCGCCGCGCCGAGCCCTCCTGCTTCATGGCGCCCGGGGTCGCGGCCTAGTCCGGGCACCGAGGCCGGGGCCTCGCGTAAAGCCTCGCACCACGGACCAGGAACCGAGCCTGGCCTGCACACGAGCGCGGGCTAGCGTCGGGCCGCACGATGACGGAGCAGCTGCAAACCCCTTCCCGGCGCTGGGCCTTCTGGGAAGCCCCAGGCTCGGCGGGCCGATAGCCGAGTCGACAAAGGGAAAAGAAATCAACCGCCGAGGTGCAGGATGGAGGCGGATGTTCGAGGAAGCGGCGGGGAGGAGCCTGTACGAGTTTGCAAGGCTTGCTTTGGCGTGCGTAACTGTTGATTTTCTGTTCCTCTCGAGTGCGTTTCTGCGAATGTCCACGAGAGGTCCCCTCAGCCTCCGACCTCCCCCAGTCACTGTGGAGTGGGCAGGGCCTCTCCGAAGGCAGGGCGAGATGACGTCACGGGTGCCGGGCGGGTTTTGCACCCAAAGTGGCTCAGTTTTCCCGAGCGAGGGTCCCCTGGGAGAGCCGGCGGCTTTGCGCTCAACGGCCGCCGGGTGCGTCCAGCGCGAGGGAACAGGCGGGTCGTGGAGCTGGGCTGTTGGGGTTAAAGCGGGATTGCAGCGTCTGAAGAACCCCGTGATTTCAGTTCAGCCAGAAAATCTCCAGGCTGGGAGCGGGGAGGGTGCTTCCGGAGACTCATTGGAGTTTAATGAAAGATAGGGGTCCACTTGTGTGCTGCCCAGGACCAGCACAGGATGAGTCTGGGGCGGCATTTTGTCTAGCGGCTAACCCCGCACCCCACATGGCAGAGCCTGGGTGGAGTCCCGGTCTGCACTTCCAGCCCCCTACTGCTGCACACCCTGGGAGGCAGCAGGTCATAGCTCAGGTAGCTGGGCCCTGACACCCACGGGAGGATGTGGAATGAGTTCGTGGCTCTGCGCTCTGCCTGGACCAGCCTGGGCTGTTGGGGATGCTTGAGAGATGAACCAGCCAGATGCAGGTTTTGTCCATCTGACTCTTTGCCTCTCAAATAAAAATAAATTTTTTGTTTGTTTGTTTTGTTTCTTAATCACTTTAAACAAGCAAGCAGACTAACAAAACTCCCTCCCTCTCTTGAAAGGTTAATCTGTTCCAAGAATGGAATTCCTGGGTTTTGGGGCTTGGACAGATCTTACACAGGATGCTAGCCCTATAGTGGGGACTATGTTCTGGCCATATCCATTTTATACTTGTAAAGTGTGTCTGCATAGCCCTTTTCATACTATAGCAGTCAATAGTTCCTTGCCTTCGGCAGCCATTTGTTAGATGGAAAACCGCGTGCTGCAGTTTTCTGGAACATTCCCCAGCCCTCACCGTCCTCTCACCCCCAGGGCTGGGGGATGGGTAACAGCACTTTTACATCATCAGTGAAATAAACTCCTTGAGGATCTTCTTCATAACACGGTGTCTGTGGTTGACGGTGGACGCGGATGAAATGCAGACGGGAGAAAACAGAGGCGCTTTGTTGTTCCTCCCCACAATCAAAGGAGTTACCCTGCTGGATGGCTGGGATGTGAGCTCACCTCTCTATTAAGTTTGCTTCACTAAAGAAAAACAATCAAGTCAGCAGATAACCAGCCGGTGTGGCCACGAGCAATCCAGGGAGGCTGGATGGGGAGGATGACTTAGCACAAAGCTTTTGGCTTTGTGAGTCCGTGGTTAGTGAGCTACCTAGCCTGGACTAGGGTGGCCAAGACCAGGGAGAGTCTGATTATTCATTTGAAAGGCAGAGTTACAGAGAGAGAGGGAAGGAGAGACAGAGAGAAACTGTCCACCCGCTGGTTCACTCCCCAAATGGCTGCAATGGCTGGGGCAGAGCTGGGGCTGGGCCAGGCCGAAGCCAGGAGCCAGGAGCTTCATCCAGTCTCCCACATGTGTGCAGGGGCCTAAGCAGTTGGGCCATCTTCTGCTGCTTTCCCAGGCACATTAACAGAGAGAACTGGATCCGAAGTGGAGCAGCCAGGACTCGAACCAGTGCCCATATGGGATGCCGGTGTTGCAGGTGCCAGCTTAAACTGCTGTGCCACAGCGCTGGCCCCCAAACGCACAACTCAACTGCTATACCAAATGCCCACTTCTAAAACTGCTTCCAAAGAGGTTGGTGGAAGATGTTTAAACCCAACTTTAGGCAGAAGAGGATGATGTAAAATCAGTATTTGATGAGATTGATATATATTAGAAGGCCCATACACCAAACCTATCTACTCTACTTCCCATAATCACTCTAAATTGAGGGCAGAAATAAAAAGTCCAAAGACATCACAGTTTACTTTTTTTAAAATATTTATTTGAAAGGCAGAGTGTGGGTGGAGGGGAGGAGAGACAGAGTTTCCATCTACTGGTTCACTTCCCAGATGGCTGCAACAGCCAGGGCTGGGCCAGGCCAAAGCCAGGAGCCAGGAGCTTCTTGTGGGTCTCCCATGCGGGTGCAGGAGCCCAAGTACTTGGCCACCTTGTGCTGCTTTCTCAGGTGCACTAGCAGGGAGCTGGAAGGGAACTGGCACCCATGTGGGTGCTGACACTGTAGTCGGTGGCTTAACCTGCTGTGGCACAGCGCCGGCTCCTACACAGTTTACTTCTGAAAGTTTTGATCAGTCCTATTCTTGGGCCCCATTTTTTTAAAGACCCATCGACATTTTCTATTCACTTGAATCTTGTCTCATTTTTGTTTGGGGCTTGCATCACATACCTCTAGATCTTCCCTTTCCCCAATCCTTCCACCCAGGGCTAAGGACCCCAAATATTCTTCTTTGAAGAGAAGCTGCTCTGATGATCTCCCACATTCTGTGTACACGTATTTCTTTGAGTACTTTTCAGCTGGCTTGAGGACAACGCGGAGCTGTAATCATGTATAGGGGATGTATAGATAGACAAACAGCCATTATCATAATAACACAAATTAAATTATTTGAGAGGCAGAGAAAGAGAGGGAGAGAGGGCAAGTGAGCAAGTATTCCAGTCCACTGGTTCACTCCCCAAATGCTTGCAAAGGCTAGGAGGCTGAAGCCAGGAACCAGGAATTCAAGTCTCCCGTGTGGGTGGCAGGGATTCAACTAACTGAGCTGTCATCCTCCCTGCCTCCCGGGGTGCACATTAGAAGGAAGCTGGAATCAGGAGCTGGAACTGGGAATCATACTGTGATGTCAGATGCAGCCATCCTAATGACTAGGGCAAAGAGCCCCTCTCCTTATGATAAATTCTTTTTTTTAAAGATTTATTTATGTATTTGAAAGGCAGAGTTACAGAGAGGCAGAGGGAGAGGGAGATGCAGAGGGAAATGGAAATGGAAATGGAGAGGGAGAGAGAGAGAGAGAGAGAGAGAGAGAGAGAGAGAGAGAGAGGTCTTCCATCCGCTAGTTCACTCCTCAGATGGCCACAAAGGCCAGAGCTATGCCAATCCGAAGCCAGGAGCCAGGAGCTTCTTCCAGGTCTCCCAGATGGATGTAGGGGTCCGAGCACTTGGGCCATCTTCGGCTGCTTTCCCAGGCCATAGCAGAGAGCTGGATCAGAAGTGAAGCAGCTGCGATTCAAACTGGCACCCATATGGGATACAGGCACTGCAGGTGGCAGCTTTACCCACTATGCCCCAGTGGCAGTCCCAATAAATTCATTAAAGAAACACACCAAAATACGTTTCATACTAAGATTGACATAATATTTTCCATTAATTCCAGTAAAGCTTTTTTGGGAGGAAGAACAAGTGAGAATTAGGACAGGAGGTTATCTTTTCTTTTTCTTTCTTTCTTTCTTTTTTTAAATTTGGAAGGCAGAGTGACAGAGAAGGAAAGACAAAGAGGTGGAAAGACAGAGAGAGGGAGAGCTTCCATCTGCTGGTTCACTTCCCAAATGGCCAGAATAGCCAGGGTTGGACCAGGAACTCCATTCTGGTTGGTAGGGGCCCTAGTACTTGAGCAATTTTCTGCTGCTTTTCCAGGCATCTTAGCAGGGAGCTGGATTGGAAGCAGAGTAGCTGGGACTTGAATCGGCACTCTGATATGGGATGCTTTTGTTGAAATGACTCACAGTTTAAAAAGTCTAAGTGCTTCCACGTCTACAGGATTTCAGCATCAAAGGATGGGCTTAGTAGGTGTGGCGCTGCAGGGCACAATGTAGAAGTTGCTAATTGTGGGTGACCGGAAGCTATTTTAGTGATCTTCAGCCTGGTGGCGCAGCATACTGAGGTTGGGAAGGCATTAGGGAAGCCGGAAACAGAAGGCAGGCAAGTTAGGAGGCCTTGGTCAGCAGCTGAAGGAGGGAGAGGCCAGCGTACAGGGCACAGAGGTGGGGGAGGGTGTCTGGATCCCACATGTATTGGGGGCCCGACCTCTGCACTTCTAGGCCGCTCAGCCCCACAAGGGCCTCGGTGAGGGTCAGTTCCTCTTCCCCAAGGGAGGAAAGCAACTCGGGTCGCAGGGGGAAAACACCCTCTTTATCCTGCAGGAAGTTCTGTTCCATTGCGCTCTCCACCTGGCGGGAACCAAGACAGAGTGAATAGGGCAAACTAGAAAGCTCTTCTTTTCTCCGAACTCACAAGAATCACAAAAAAGGCTGCGCTCTTTGTAACCCCTACAATGCCTTGCAACTCCACCTGGGCCTTCTCGCGGCCTCTGTAGCGGCCAGCACCTTTGTTTCTAGCCCTGATGCACAGAGGAGGACCTCGAGACAGGCCCAGACGGTAAACGATTTACTCACACCGAGCAAAGTCAAGGTTTTCTGTCTCTTCTCCCAAGAGAAGCGCAGTAAACCCAGAGCCTTGCCCCGCAATTCTCTCTTCTACCTCTCCTTGGGATAGAACAAACAGGAAGTCAGGAGAGGAATGAGAAGTGGGCATGAGCGCCTCGGCCAAGACAGGGGCTCTTAGGGGTGCATCTGTCCTTAGGCTAAATCTGCGCCTCCTCTTAGTCCTAGCTATTCCCTCCCGACTCTCCCCGGAAAAGGCCATGTTTTGCTTTTTCTTCTTACCAGCTTTAGCTGCACGGGTAGGATCTTTCTCTCCATGGACTTTACTAGCAGTTTCTGTTGGGCTTCGCTTAGCACTGGGGAAAAAAGTAGAGGCAAAGGTGTGAGTTGCTGGTGCCGAGGGGACTGCAGACTCCAAATGGGTGCATTTCTGGAATTCCAGCATTCAATTCATTCATTCATTCATTCCTGTTGTGTGCCTGCTCTGTCAGGCACCTTTTCTGGGTGTTAGCTAGCAACTGCACTCCCCCTTTAAGGAACTGACAAAGTGATTAGAGTAATTAGAGTCCAGGTGTCGGGGAGCCATCGATGGGAGTGTGCTTTGGTCTTGTCATCTGAGGAAGGGCAGGCTTCCTAAGGGAACAAAAATCTCAGTTTGTATCTGAGGGGTTGCCTAAGTGGGGTCGGTGCAGAGGCAACCAGAAAACATAGGGTCAAGATCAGAAGATGTTACTCTCTGAAACTAAAGTGAACACGTGTTAACATGGGTGTTGAGCTTAGCTCTATGCGGAAGGGTTAAACATGTGGCCAGTAAAATTAGGGTTATTTCCCACCTCTATTAGCAAGACTAGGCTGTCTCCTCAGGCCCTCAAACAGGCTCGGATGAATCCTTAGGAACGAAACTAAGTTTTTAAAATGTAGATAAAAGGGTGGGAGCTTGGCACAGTGGTTAGGCAGCTGCTTGGGACGCCTGAAGCCTGCAGCCCACATTGGAGGGCTGGCTCTGCTGCAGTTCCAGCTCCCTGCTAACGGGAAGGAGCAGGGAGTGCCGGCTCCAACTGTTGGGTCCCTGCCACCCACGTGGGAGATCCAGGCTAAGTTCTGGGTGCCTGGCTTCGGCCTGGCTCAGCGCTGGCTACTGCGGGCATTTTGGGAGTAAACCGATGGATGGAAGATCTTTCTCTCTCTCTCTTTCTTTCTTTCTTAGGCAGACTTAGACAGAGAGAGAGACAGAGAGAAAGGTCTTCCTTCCGTTGGTTCACCCCCCAAATGGCTGCTACGGCCGGCACACTGTGCCATTCCGAAGACAGGAGCCAGGTGCTTCCTCCTGGTCTCCCATGTGGGTGCAGGACCCAAGGACCTGGGCCATCCTCCACTGCACTCCCGGGCCACAGCAGAGAGCTGGCCTGGAAGAGGGGCAACCGGGACAGAATCTGGCGCCCCAACCGGGACTAGAACCCGGGGTGCCGGCACCGCAGGCAGAGGATTAGCCTAGTGAGCCATGGCGCCGGCTGTCTCTCTTTCAAACAAAATTATTTTTAAAACTATAGATACGGGAGTGGGGGGTTGAGCTAGCAGTTAAGCTACGGTTAGTGTGTCCACATCCCACATCAGAGGACCTGGGCTCACTTCCTGGCTCCAGCTTCTGCTTCCAACTCCCTAATAATGTGGACCCTAGGAGGCAGCAGTGATGGCTCAAGGAGTTGGGTCCCCACCACCCATGTGGGAGACCTGGACTGAGATCCTGGCTCCGAGTTTCAGCCACCTTCCCAGGTGTTACAAGTATTTGGGGAGTGAACCAGAGGAAGGGAGCTATCCCTCTGTTTTTCAAATAAATAAATAACAATTAGGCCGGCGCCGTGGCTCAATAGGCTAATCCTCCACCTTGCGGCGCCGGCACACCGGGTTCTAGTCCCGGTTGGGGCGCCGGATTCTGTCCTGGTTGCCCCTCTTCCAGGCCAGCTCTCTGCTATGGCCAGGGAGTGCAGTGGAGGATGGCCCAGGTGCTTGGGCCCTGCACCCCATGGGAGACCAGGAAAAGCACCTGGATCCTGGCTCCTGCCATCGGATCAGCCCGGTGCGCCGGCTGCAGCGGCGGCCATTGGAGGGTGAACCAACGGCAAAAGGAAGACCTTTCTCTCTCTGTCTCTCTCTCACTGTCCACTCTGCCTGTCAAAAATTAAAAAAAAAAAAAAAAATAAATAAATAACAATTAAAAATATTATTGATATAGAGAACTTGACTGTGGCATGATTTGCCTGGCATTCCTTCATTTGGGAGTTCATTCCAATGATTCATTCCTGTCACTCACCAGGTCTGTAAGTGTAGATCTTCCCGCCTTACCTGTTAGGGCTCCAAGGAAATACAGGACAGCACCCATAGCCTCCTTTGAGAGTAGGACATCTTTTGGGAGTGCCTCTAGGGTCACTTCATGTCCCTTGTCTAGAGCCCCTTCAAGCTGTGGGAAAAGGCGGGTGACTATTGAGAATGACACTGTGCCAGAACCTAATAATCCCTGGACATGAGTGACCCCTGTCGTGTTTCCCTATCCCTTTTCCAAGGTACCAAGTCTTGAAAAGTACTGGGCTCTTGGTGCCCTGGCCTCTGGGTTTTAGACTTGGAAAGGGAATCTTCCTGCCTGTTCGCCCAGAGGGCCCTCTGGCCAGCTGCCTGCCCCCGTCCTTGTGAGGGAGCCCGTGCCCTGGGGGCATCGTCGCTGTTTACTCTTTCCCAGGGGACAAGGGTGACACTTGGCAAGCCTGGGGGAAGCTATCCCCTGCCCCCCCGTCATACCCTCCACCCTCACCCCTCCCCGGCTTTCCTGAGGCCTCACCGTGAGCTCAAGGTCTTGCAGCTCCTTTTTCTTCCCTAGAAGTTTGCTGAGGGAGCTGAGCAGGGAGCTTTGCCCTCTTCGGCTCAGCTTCTCCACTTCGTGGGTCTCTCTTTGAACCTCTTCTTTCAGGGTCCTGAAGTCCTCGTGTGCCTCCCCTACGAGATGGTAAGTGTGGCCACGGCCGGCTGCCCTCCCTGCCAGCTGGCATCCTCCCTGTGGGGCTCCTCTGTGCCCTGCTCCCAGCTTGAGCCAAGGAGCGTGGTTATGAAGGTGTCCTCCAGCCCTGATGCGAGGGTTGGGGCGAGGAGGCAGGCCAGGCCCCCCAGGATCCTGGAACCCCACGTCAATCTTCCCTGCTACCCCAGGCCCCAGCGCGCGGTAGTACACCGTTAACTTCCTGTTCTCTGGTTCCAGCTGCAAGTGGGAAGGTCTAGTTCCCCTACAAGAGAATGACTAAGGCAGCTGAATGGAGGCCAGGATGGGGCTGTGCTGGAGGGAAGGGGGTCTATGTCTGGGTTGTGGGTAGCTCAGGGACAGCTGGAACTGTAGCCCGGCTCCCTAGGGGCCTGGCAACCCAGGGCTATGTCCAGCCTGCTTTGGAGACGGTGGGTGCCTGGACGTGGCTTCAATCCCCAGGACCTGGGACTCAGCCCCCGGCTTCCTCTCCCTCCACCCAAATCCTTCCCTTGCCATCTTCAAGCCAAAGCCTCGAGAGAAACTCAGAACATTCCTTACCAACATCAGATGCCTGGATGACTGAGAAAACAAGAAAAACAGAGCCGCGTTAAGGATGGAATCCTGCAGCATGGCAGCCATCCCCAGGGGAGGAGACACTAAGGAGGATGCCGAGTGCATCCTGCCTGTCTCCTGGGGGAGCCCGGCTATCTGGATTCTCCTGCTCCATCCTGGGAGCTACTGCGAGATGGAGACGGGCTCCAGGAGTGCGCTGGCACCGCGGTGACTCGGCAGCTCCCACCCCAGTCGCTGGGGAGCAGGGCAGCAGCTGTGCGTGGAACCCCCAGAGGTCTGCCAAGGCCTTGAGAACAAAGGTACGAGGCCTCAAACCAGCTGGGCTTCTTGTCCAAAAACCTCCCCCTTCCACGACTTCTTCCGAAGCCGCTGGAACTTCTGCCACATTTCGGGTACAGCAGTTGCTAAGACCAGCTCCGCCATCTTCCCTGTCAACCCCATGCAGAAGGGAAGAAAAAGTTTGGAGTTTCTGAGTCAGAAAGCAGCATCGGATGAAAGGGAGCACTTACGTGTGAACTTCTCTTCTGGTTTTTCTAAAGACAGAGACAATGCACACCCGTCAGCATAAAACTCACTCTGCCTTTTTATCTCAGGCAGTTGTCAAGGGAGCTCTATCCGTGCTCGTTAGAAAACCCCATGGAGCCTCTGCCAGCTCTGCCACCCTTGCAATTTGGGAGCGCACTCTGCCTCCAAGCCTTACTCGGCTCTGGTCTCTGTACTTCTCTGTCCCTCTGGGGTAGGGTTTATATGCCTCTATCTTTCTGAAGGTTGGTGATAGATAGTCTTAGGGACTTGGGAAGCAAAAACAGGGCTCCTTGAGGGGTCCCAGTGTGCGCCTTTGGGGGCAGAGAATGCAGGGGCAGGGCAGGGATGCAGGGAGCCGGCCAGCACCTGAACTTACCTCCGGGAGGGAAGGTCTGCATGGTGTCGCTGCAGATGTGCGGGATGTCTGTGACGGGCAGGGGAGGGAGAGCAGGTGCACACTCAGCAGCCGTTCCACCCTTCCTTCTGCAACCCCGAGCCCGAGGGCTCTGTAGGAGCTGGACCTCGTCCCTGAAAGGCCTCATCCAATTCCTTGCTCCACCTCCATTGCAGGAAGTTGTAAATTCTCTCCTAGGATAGCAACTATTTCCTGCTTTGCATTCTAGCCCACCTTCCACTGGGGGCTTCAGAGAAGCTGTGCTTGTTCAGTTTTGCACCCACTCACCCAACTAACCATGGCTGCCTGGCACCAAGCAGATGCTCAGAACCCCCAACCTCTTCACCCATCATGAGCAGCCCCTGGGGCCAGGTTCCCAGCAGAATCCAGCACATTCCTCCATGCATTCCCTTCCATGGCCACCAGAGGGGGCCAGAATGCCTTGGGATTGGTGTGGGGAGAAGGTGCGGGTCTCTGCTCACCCCACTCATCTTTGCCGTTGACCATCAGCTGTCTCACTCGGAAGGCCAGGACACAGCCCTTGGGGATGGTTACAGCCTCCTTGTGGTTTACAGATCCCTAGGATTAGAGGGTGAAGGTTTGTGAATCGTAAGTATGAGAAATTGGGGGTCGGGGACAGGAGCAGGGCCAGGGCTGTGGGCCCCTGGGGAGTTAAGGAACACCTTCAGCGGTGTCTCTGGTCAGCTTTCTACCTGTCTGGACTCGGTGGGGGGGGGGGGTCAAAGCGCTTCCGCTCCTCTCCTGTGACATCCCTCCAACCATCTCTGTCTTCTTGGTTCAGTCGCTGGAAGGGACCTGGGTACACCTGCTCCTCTCACCTGCCTGTGTGGTGCTCTGACCCAGGCAGGCTCTGGTTCCTTCCTCTGCTTCTTCTCCTGTCCCATGCTCACCTCGTGCAGGAAGCCTCCATGACTTAACCCTTCTCCCAGCTCCAAATCCCAAACCATCCCTCGAATATCCATACTCAGTAGAGATAGGTGGGTGGAGCATTATTTATTCCCGCTGAGTCTTCCAAGCCTGCGCTCTCTGGACTTCAGCCCCTGCATCTGCTCTGCTTCATGAGCCTGAGAGCTCTCTATGAGCAAGGACTTCCTGGGCCCCTGTTGCTTCCTTCTCCTCCCTTCCCTCGCTGCTCATCCCTTCTGGGATCCGTTCTCTCCATCTCGTTCCCCCTCTCTTGCTTTAACAGCGGGTACTTTCACTGCGTGCTCCTTTGGTTTGCTTCCATGGTGTGCACATCTCCCTGATCCCAGAAAACCCATCTCTGCGATCTTGCTACTCTCTCAAGTTACCATCCTATTCTTTCCTTCACTTCATTGGCAAATATCTCAAAGAACCTGCTTGTCCCCTCTGTCTACTTCCTCACTGTCCACTCCTGGCTTCTTCACTCATTTGGCTTCTATTTCCAAGGCCTTCTCTTGAGATGGAGAGCACCGCGAGTGCAAACCCGTGAGTGTGGGTTTCCCCTTCCCCGATGTGTCCCTGTGGCATTGGGCTCAGAGGTTGGCCCCCACTGCGTGCCACTGATCAGACAGCGTGGCTGACTCCAGCCAGCTTGGGTTTGGGTCTTGAAGAGCAGGGAGAAGGAAAGTCCTTTTCAATATCCTGGGTGGGGCACAGACCAGGCAAAATTCATGAGACCTCTGAGAAGAAGTTGTGTGTGCATGACTGTGTGAGCATGTGTGTGTGACAGCATGCATGTGTGTGACTGTGTGAGCATGTGAGTGTGACCATTGCGTGACTGAGTATATGTGTGTGTGACTGTGAGCATGCCTGTGTGTGAGTATGTGTGTGTGTGTGACTGTGTGAACGTGTGTGTGAGGGAGAGTGCAGACCCTGAGTTTGGACCAAACCTGGAGCCCCAGTGGGGCGAAGAAGGGGAGGGAGAAGCAGCCCTCTGCCTTGCCGGCTCTCTCCAGAGTGACCTCCTGCACAGTCTCCACCACCTCCATCACCACGTACAGGTTCTCCCCCCGCTCACGCATCTCCTTCAGGAACGGGTGATCTGCTGCCAGCTTCCTGCGGTGGGGGAAACAGAGGGGAGTGCTCGGAGCTTCTCCCCACACGGCCGTGCCTTCTCTTCTGTGCTGTGGTGTTGGGGAAGGAGCGGGGGCTCTGGGGTAAGACTGGGGCTGAGACCCAGAGCTGCTGCTGACCGGTAGGGCGGCTTGTCCGAGTCGGAGTTGCCTCATCTAGAAAATGAGTGTACTGACGCCAGCCGCCACGGTTGTCGAGATAAACTGCCATCGTCTGGCGCGGTGCCTGCCCAAACAGGGCCTCCTGTGCGCCTCTCTCTATCTCCTCTGCAATTTGTTCTCTCCACCTCTTTCCTCCTCTCTTGCCATGAACGCCGGTTCCTCCTCACTACTTGCTTCTTCTCCCTGCCCCACGATATGCACATCTCCCTGATCCTGGAAAAATCATTTCTTTGGTCTTGCTACTCCCTCAAGTTACCACCCTTGGTTTTCCTTCACTTCATTGGCAAATATCTCAAAAAACATGCCCATCCCCACTGTCTACTTCCTCACCGCCCACTCCTAGATTTCCACTCCTCAGTGGACACCACAGTGCCTCCTTCCCGTCACACCTGCCCCTGGGCAGCACTGATCCTGCTGTCCAAAACCCCATGGCACACTGCCTTCATTGGCTTCCAGTCGCACTGTAGGATCCTGGTTCCTCTCCTGGCTGTCTGGTTCTAAGTTTTATCCATTCTGTCTGCGTCCATTTTCCGCTTGACCCGGCTTTGCTAAAATGTGATGTTCTCCAAGATTCTGTTCCCTCCCCTGTGCTCTCTGAATTCTGTGCAACAGTTCCCGCTTCCTGGAGCTTCAGTCTTTGTGTTGCCGACCGCCACATGAGTTTGTTCGCCTTGACTGCTCTTCCCAGCACCTGTCAAACATCCTCAGGGCAGTGACAGACTCGGAGCACCCAGAAGGGACCCACAATCCTCCTGTCCAGTGCCCTTCTCGCTCTGTCTTCCTGTTACCTGTCACGTCACCGTGCTTGTCCTGCGGTGTCACACCTGGGTCACCTCTCAGCGTCAGCGTGGCCAGAGCCTCTGCCTACACCTGCACTCAGGTCTGAGTCCGGGCCACGCTGCTGCCTTTCACGGCAGGCCCTGCCTCAGTTCCCCGTCTTTGGTCTGACTGCTTTCTCCCTGGGTTACATCTCTGACGAACAGTGGAACAGTGCTCCAACTGCCTGCTTCAAACCCCGTCCCTATCTGAAAGGCTTCTTCCACGTGGCCGGATTAGTCAGGAGATGCATCAGAGCACTGTCAGGTCTCTCTGGTGCCCACAGAATACGCTCTCAATCACCTTGATCTGGCGCCTGGCGCTCAGGTTGCATCTCCCACCTTTTGCACTCGTGTCTCTTCTGCTCCTGCCAAAGTGGCTATTCATGGTCCCTTATTGATTTTTTTAATTTTTAAAAATTTATTTGAAAGGCAGAGGGGAAGAGAATCAGACAGAGACAAATAGAGATCCTCCATCTGCTGTTCACTCCCCAAATGCCTGCAATAGTTGGGCTAGGCCAGGACAAAACCAAGAAACCAGGCCGGCGCCGCGGCTCACTAGGCTAATCCTCCGCCTAGCGGCGCCAGCACACCGGGTTCTAGTCCCGGTTGGGGTGCCGGATTCTGTCCCGGTTGCCCCTCTTCCAGGCCAGCCCTCTGCTGTGGCCAGGGAGTGCAGTGGAGGATGGCCCAGGTGCTTGGGCCCTGCACCCCATGGGAGACCAGGAAAAGCACCTGGATCCTGGCTCCTGCCTTTGGATCAGCACGGTGTGCCGGCCGCAGCGCGCCGGCCGCGGCGGCCATTGGAGGGTGAACCAACGGCAAAGGAAGACCTTTCTCTCTGTCTCTCTCTCTCACTGTCCACTCTGCCTGTCAAAAAAATAAAAAATAAAAAAAATAATAATAAAAAAAACAAACCAAGAAACCAGAACTCCATCCAGGTCTCCCACATGGGTGGCAGGGACCCACGGACTTGAGCCATCACCTGCTGCCTCCCAGGATGCACAGTAACAGGAAGTTGGAATCAGGAGCAGAGCTGGGACTCAAATCCAAGCCCTCCAACATGGGATGTGGTTGTCCCAAGTGGTGGCTTAATCGTTGCACCAAATGCCCATCCCCTGTCCTCCCTGGGCCCCTCACCCCCTTTCGTTTTGAGAGTTCTCAATTCTGAGCCTCTGTAACGTCCTTCTGCCAGCCCTGCATGTCTGATTTCTACTGCCCTTTCAAGGCCTAGGTCATGGTCACCACCTCTGTGAGTTCTTTCCTTGTTTTCCCAGCCAGAAGTCCCTCGGATCTGCCCCAAGACTCAGATCACTTATGACTTCATGCCTTGGGTCATGTTCACATTTGTGCATTTTTTCACTCCTAGATTACAAGCAGATAAGAATGTTCTAGATGCGCCCCAGCATGCCCTAGGGTGCTTTGCACGCCACAAAGCTCTTTTGTGTTTTCTGATGGCTTCTGGAACACCTCAGCCCTTCCTTCTTTCAACCACTACTTAACTATGTAAAAGCCAGTTCCCCTGTCAGGCCAAACATCCGAAGCACCGGGCATCACCACTACATCTGCCACACCCCTGGTGCTCCTGGGACGGGCGTGCCAGGTGTGTGTGTCATGCTGGGTAGCAAGCCTCACTTATGGGAGCAGACGCGGCACTCAGCTGCGGTGGGGAGCAGTCCCGACCACCTCCACCTTTCTAGGAAAGTTCATAGATTTAACGTTGGAAGGCGCCAAAGCGGGGATCCTTGGACCCCGTCATTTTGCAGGAAAGAAAACTGAGCTCTTAAGAGAAAACTTTTCCAAAGTCCCAGCCCGGATGCACAGGCATTCTAGAAGGCTCCCCACAGGTGACCGGATTGGCACCCGCCAGCGTGAGGGGCCCCACCCTTCTACGCCCTGCCCTGCCCCACTCCGTCCAGCAGCCCCAGCCTGCTGCCTCTCACCTCTCCTCATGCAAGGTCTCCAGGGCCTTGGGAGCCACACTGAGCGTCTGGACCTCCAGAGTGCTGTTCCGGGACAGCCCTGCGGTCCCCGTCACCTTCACCGTCTTTGGCACATCCACCTCTCCCTCCACTCGAGCGTCTAGCATATTCTTAAAGCCAAAGTTCCCAGAGTCTGTTGGATCTGCAGGAGGGAGAAGACAAAACGGGCTGGGCCGAGAGGCACCCCTTGTCCCTCCTGCTGCTTGAGCTCCCCGTGGGAGCCCTGGGCTTGAGGACATCAAGCACATCTGGGCAGAGGGGCCTTGGGGGACAGGAGGCCCTGTCCTCGGGACCCCTCGGAGGCCAGCCGCAGGCCCCAGGCTCACCCGAGGGGGCGCTGCCAGGCTCCAGCAGGTCCAGGAGGGTGTAGTCCGTGCGGACGTATCGGGCGCCCCAGAAGAGCGTGCTCTTTCTCTTCCTCAGCACCAGGCAGAAGGGGTGGAAGCGCTTGAAGTCGATGAGGCTGTCAAGGGCTGTCAGGTCCCCGTGAGGGTTCAGCTGTCTGGCCAGGGCCCGCGTGACGTTTTCAAACATGGTCATTGCCTCTGGGAGGGAGAGGCAGGGGAGATGGGAGAGGTCACGATGGCTTCCAGGGGACCAGGACTCGGGGCCCTAACGGAGCCCTTCGAGAAGCCTGGGTCCCCGGACCTCAGGGCTGGCAGGAGCCCAAGGAGCCGTCTTTTTGTGGAGGGAGGGAGCTGGGGCTCAAGAGCGCACAGCGGTGACTGGGAAGCCAGACCGCCCCTTTCTTTGTCAAGGGGATGAAGAGTGTTCTCTCCACGCTCTCGTTCTCTTCACAGACTGGAACATTTTACCAGCGATGGAAGGGCAGCTTCCTCTCCCATCAGAGAACAGCCATGGGGAAGGGAAGCTGCTGCTCCTGGGGCCGAGGGCCTGGGCGGGCAGAGCTGGGCACCTGCCCCAGTCATCCCTTCCCGGGGCGCAGGTGCAGCCCGCTGCAGTGCCCTGTCCCTCCTTGTGCCCGCCTCCCGGCTCCTGGGCGAGAGGAGACCACTTCCCTGCAGCTGGTACCCCAACAGTCAAGCAGTCTGATGCTGCTTGCTTTTGCCCCCTCTGCTTCCCAAACCTCTTCCCCCATCTGCAGAGTCCCTATTCACCCTTCCAGGCTCAACTTGGGTCACCTCCTCCAGACCCCTCCCCACATTCCTTTAAGCAGCTGCTGACTCCGCCCGTGTTCCCAGACCACTTTGCACATCCCCTTCTGAAACACCTGCCACTTCCTGTGATCCGTTCACCCGCCCTTCTCACCCACTTGACAGTGACCTCCCTGAAATTGGACCTGGGTCTCAGTCACGTCTGGCATCAGGGCTGGAGCTTGGCGTATGTGTGTGGAAATAACAAGCCAGTGGGTGATTGTGGCCCTGGGGTGAGAGGCCCCAGAAGTGTGGGGGCTAGCACAGCCCGAAGTTTGCCACCATAGCTCTCCATCTTTGAAGTGTGAGTCCAGGTGCCCTGGCTGGGTGGCCAAGTGGCACACCCAAATTATATCCCTGTGGGTGGCAGAGGACACACCAGCTGTCCTGGACGTGCCTCACCTTTCCTGTGGATGCCTCCCAGAAGGTGGAGGAGTGGGAGGCACAGGCGCACACGCAGGGAGCCATTCTGCCAGTTCCCAGTGCCTGCCTCAGTCCTCATCCCCGGGGGGGCCAGCCTCCTGGACCAGTCGGTACTGGGAAGGACTTGGGTGCCTGCAGTCTTCTCCTCCCCAGAGGGGGCTCACAGGGACCCTGCCCCCTGCTCTCCCTGATGCCAATCTCCTCTGTGCCCTTCTGGTCCCGCCCATCTCCCTGTGTCCCCGGAACAGCCCCTGCCTCTTCTTACCGGGAGAGATGCTGGGTCCGTCCGTCCGCTGGGCGTGGGGAGAGGGCTCAGGTCTCCCTTGGTCTGTAGGTTGAACGAATGACTGTCGCCTGCCTGGGCGGGCTGCTTTATGCCTCTGTGGAGGCAGGGATGGAGGTTTCTAAGGACCCACCCCCGGCCTGGTCCGTTTCCTGGAGAACAGCATCAACCTGTTCCACGTGTGCCCTGCCCCAGGCCCTGGGCCCTGGCCTCCTGAGGGCTGAGGGGGTGGGTGGGAAGCTGCCAGGCAGGTGCCAGCGTGGGTGTGGGCAGCTGGGGCTGTGAGAGAGGTGGCAACTCAAGGCAGGCTTGTAGACACCATGGAGTGGGGAGCTGCACAGAGAGGCAGTGGGAGGTGTGTGTGCAAGTGTGAGTGTGTGCTGTGTGCGAGCGTGTGAGTGATGAGGGAAGGCATCTCAGCTGTGTCATTGTCGTCTGGAAGCAGCTGGGACTCCTGATGAGGCCTTGCAGGTGCAAGTGTGATACGGGGGTAAGAAGTCCTGTGTTGTCCAGAGTCCAGGCAGAGCTGGCCTTTCGAAATCTGCCTTCCGCTTTTCTGCTGAGGATGCATATTGGCACCTCCCTCCCTTTGTTTTAGCTCAGGGACAGATCCTGGGTGCCCCTAGACACATGGGTCTGAGAAGGCAGAGGTGGGGCGAGACCAGTGCTTTTCTGTTGCTTGGTGTTCTGTGCACTGCCTCCCACGGGACAGTGTGTACCATACATACACAGAGCAGGGCGTGGGGCACGGTGAGACACCTGCACCTCATTCAGAGTGCCTGGTTCGAGTCCCCACCAATTCCCCTGCTTGCTTCCAATCCAACTCCCTGCTGATGCACCTGGGAGGTAGTGGGTGATGCCCAAGTGCTTAGGTTCCTGCCACCCACATGGGAGATCCAGATGGAGTTCTTAGCTCCTGGCTTCTGTCTGACCCAGCTCTGCCTGTTTGGGGCATTTGGGGAGCTAATCAGCAGATAAAGATCTCTCTCTTTCTCCTCTCTCTGTCACTCTGCCTTTAAAATAAACAAATTTTGATAAAACAAAACAAAGCAAAGCAAACCCTGGCGGCTGCCTCCCTGGTCCCCACCCCTGGCCATTTTGCTCATCTCCTTTCCCGTCAGGCCCTCCTTGTGTTGATCTCTCACACTCCTCCCTCTTCCGGCAGGCAGTCTATTAGCACAGTCAAGGTCCCTCTGCCTTGGGGGAGGCAGAGGCGGCCGGGGTGTGGGGAGGCTGTCAGGCTCATTTGGTCGCTGCCTGTGATGCACAGGGATGCAGACAGGTGTTGTGTTCCTTCATCTGTAGTGCTGGTTCTCCTGGTTCTTCCCGCACTTCTCTTTCTTCCTCTCCATCGCACAGAATCACTGTGTTGATTTGACACCGGCAAACCAGCTGCAAGGCCCCGGGCTGCGCCATCTCCGTCCTTTCATCAGCTCCAGGGAGGGCGGTCAGCACCTGCCCCATCATCAGTCCACCCTGCCTTGGTGCCTTGGTCACACTTTTGTGACTTTCATTCTTTTAGATTCATTTATTTGAAAGACACACACACACACACACACATACACACACAGATCATCCATCTGCTGGTTCATTCCCCAAGTGGACACAACAGCCAGGACTGGGCCAGGCTGAAGTCAGGGACCAAGAGCTTCATCCAGGTCTCTCTCGTGGGTGGCAGGGGCCCAGGCATTTGGGCCATCTTCTCTTGCTTTCCCAGGTGCATGAGTAGGGAGCTAGATTGGAAATGGAGCAGCCAGGACATGAACCAGTGCCCGTGAGATGCAGGCGTCACAGGCAGTGGCTTACCTTGCTGTGCCGCAACGCTGGTCCCTGGGAGTTTCTTCCTAGAGTCTGCCCTCCTCCCGTTGGCAGTAGGCCAGTTCTCTGGTCTAGCTCATCCTCCCAGGATCCAGAGAGGAGTGGTCTCACAAAGTCACGCACATATCTGCTCTCCTTGAGGACCCCAAAATGTCTGTCTAGCCGGCTCACCCTCCTCTGACCCACGGGTCCTGTTCCTTTCATTTCTCTTGTTCCTTCATCCACTGTGACCCCGGAGCACTCCACCAGCCCTCCCTCAGTCTCCTTTCCTGCCCCCTTCCTGCCTTCCCCCTCCTGCTCCATTTACACTAACTGCCTAATGGTGCTCCAAGCAGGGGGCTTTGAGAGTTTCAAAGCCTCAAGAAGACATGGCTTGTGGAGCCAGCTTGTGGGGTGGAGGGCTTGTGCTTTTGTAACAACAACACCCATATTCAGGCCTGTTCCTTGCTCCTCCCTCCCATCCCAGAAGCCCTGTCTTTTTTTTTTTTTTTTTTTAACTGTCTATACCTGTGGTCTTATGGATGGACCAGAGTCCCTTTAGTATCCAGTCTCTGCTTCAGTGTCCTGGTATATGGTCATGATAATGTGGAATAGAATTTACACTGCACTGGAAGGCATTTAAGTTTGACTAACACGTAAGAACTCCCTAGCTCAATTAAAGGAACTGAATGTTGAAAGAGGAGGGTGGGTGCGTGGTACTTAGGCAAGGTGGCAGGCTTTGCTCTCTGTCTCCCTCTGGTGGTCACTCGGGGTAGGTGTGAGGGTGCTGGCGCGAGGAGACCAGAAACGAGAATTCAGCTGGGGAGGACGCCTAACTACTTGCTCTCTGGGAAACTCAATGTCTCTCCGTCACACAGAGTGCACTGCAGGCAATAGCTGTTGGGACAGTGCACTATTTTCTTACTCATCTTTTTAAAGATTTATTTATTTATTTATTTGGAAGTCAGAGATACAGAGAGAGGGAGAGACAAATCTTCCATCCTCTGGTTCACCCTCAAGTTGGCTGTAACTGCTGAGGCTGGGCCAGACCAAAGCCAGGAGCCAGACGCTTCATCTGGGTCTCCCATGTGGCAGGGGCCAAGCACTTGGGCCATCCTCTGCTGCCTCCCCAGGCACATTATCAGGGAGCGGGATCAGAAGTGCAATAGCTGGGACTCGAACAAGTGCCCATGAGGGATACCGGCACTGCAGGTGGAGGCTTAACCCGCTACGCCATAGTGCTGGCCCTATGAGCTAAACTTTCGTAAATTATCCTTTCTAAACAGAGTAAAATGCTCAGTCTTTTCTTATCCTCTAAAAATCTTTGAGGGGCCAGTGCTGTGGTGCAGCAGGTTAAAACCCCGGCCTGAAGTGCCCGCATCCCATATGGGCGCCGGTTCAAGTCCTGACTGCTTATCATCTGATCCAGCTCCCTGCTATGGCCTGGGAAAGCAGTAGAAGATGGCCCAAGTCCTAGGGCCTCTGCACCACAGCTCCAGCCATTGTGGCCACCTGGGGAGTGAACCAGGGGACAAAAGACCTCTCTCGCTGTCTCTACCACTCTCTGTAACTCTGTCTTTCAAATAAATAGAATAAATCTTTAAAAAATAAAAAAAAAATAAAAATCTTTGAGCTTTCTTCCCAAATTCCCAAGTCAGCTTTGGAGCCCGACATTCCCAAACTCCTGGCTGGGCAGACACCGATGTGCAGTTCCAAGTGCACCATCTAGCTGTCTACTCTCATTGCCCCCTTCCTCCACTGCCAGTCCCCTACCATCAGGCTGCTTTGGGCAAGGAGGCACTGCCAGCCCCCAGCCCCAACCCAGGGAGTCCTGCTCTGTCGGCCGATCCTCTCAACACGCATGTCTTACGGAGGTCCTGCTGATGCGGCAGGAACGGGTGTTGGAGCCCCTGTCTACCTCCTGGCTAATGGAAGAGCTGCTCCTCCTCACTGTGACTGTTGGGCGTCCCCGTGGGACAGAGCTCCCAGGGCCTTGCTAAAGAGACCAGGTCCTGGGGGCCCGGTGTGGTGCAGTGGGTTAAACCAACATCCCATACGGGGGTGAGGGCTCAAGTCCCAGCTACTCTGCTTCCAATCTAGCATCCCTGCTAACGTGCCTAGGAAGGCAGCAAAAGATGGCTCAAGTATTTTAGGGGCAGAACGGCAACAAGTCATTTGGCTCCCAGAGGTAGAGGGCTCATCTCCTGGATTTCCCTAACCCTCTTCACTGTCGTCCCCTCTAGGCTGTCTTTGGAAAGGAGGCCCCTGCAGAATCATGGTCTACAACCCTGATATGTATTCTGTCTCACTGGGCTACCTTGCTCTCCTGCACCCTGGCTGTCAGCACCTCCCACCACTTCTCCCTGCACATGAGGGTTGGAATCCTGTGGTCCATGCCTGTAGGATCTCCACGTGTAGTAAGGTGAGAACCTTCGCCTGCAGCAGGGCCAGCATGTCTGCGCCTGGCCTTCGGGAGTGCCCTGGATCCCTCATTCTCTTCCCTTCTCTCACCACCTGGTACCTGCTGGCTACTGTGTAGAGGACCCTACGGATAGTTCTGGTCTGCTGCCTATTTACTGCCTGGCACTGGAGCTCCACCAAGGCCTCTAACACTGCCTGCCTCTGTACCCTTGGCTCCTTCAACAGTTCTGCACTCCAGTCTCTCCGTCTCCTGCACTGTGAAGGCACTTCCTGGGGTTGTTCTCCTTTACGGCAGCCTGGTGTACAACTACACCTTCCTTGGCGTCATTCCTGTTGATGAAACCACATCCGTTTCTTACTGTTCCCAAAGCCTTTGTTGCCACTCATGTATGGCTGCTGTGTGGCTGCCATGGTGGGCTTGGTTTCAGAGGCGCTGGTGTCGGGGTAGTGGGCGGCTGCTCATGGCCACGGTGGTGGTGACTCGGGCTGGCTGCCGCAGCTGCGGCTCCTCCAGGGGTGTGATGGTAACTGGGCCAGCGGCCAGGGCTCTCTGGGGTTCCCTCTCTGCTCTTGCTACCGATCAAACCTGTAATTCTAAAATTATTTTGTCATTTGAGAGAGAGAGAGAGAAAAAAAAAAACCTCTCATCTACCTTTTAGCTTACTCTCCAAATGTCTGCAATAGTTTTAACTGGCCTGACGCAAGCTGAAGCCAAGAACTCCATCCAGGTCTCCCACATGGGTGACAGGGACCAAGTACTTGAGCCATCTCCTGCTGCCTTCTGGGGTCTGCATAAACCGAGTCACCAGCAGGAGCCTAACTGATGGCTTAACTGCTAAGCCAGATGCCTGCCGCTTGAATAATTCTTAAATTTTTTTTTAATAAGGAGCCTTGCATTTTTGTTTTGCACCAGCCCTCATCAG